AAATTTCATCTTGCTTTGGCCATTGTGTGTAGACTGTCCCTCAGACCCTGGTAGTCAAGTCACCCACCCTCTCAGGGGAGAAGGTGCTGGAAAGAACAGAGAGGCATAACAAAGCACGTGGCATTGATCCCTCCTCTGGCACCCTGCAGCAGCCACGCTGCATGCTGCCTTCCTACCAACAGAGAAACCAGGAGTCTGGTTGTTTCCGCTCCAGCTGGGAGGATGGAGACCAGCAGACTCTGAAGACCGATCTGGAGAGAACAAATACAAGGGGGCTTCCAAAAGCTCAGGGAAAATCCCAGTATCTTCTGATCTCATTTTCCCTCAAACTTTATGGAGCCCCCTCAGACACAGAAGCAGAGCTGCGGCTCCTTTGGGCACAGGGGCCAGGGTGCAGGCAGAAAGGAGGAGAAGGGAAGCATGGAAATGGGTGAAAGCAGCCCGCTCTCACTCACTCCCTTCCTCGCTGACTGCAGGAGAGTGGCGAGAGCATGGCTGATCTCTAGATAACACTGTTTTCAGATGTAAGCACATTGGAAACAGCAATAATATTCCTATTATCCTGACCACTGCTTTGTCCCTGCTATCCACACCCACCCTTGACTAGCTGAGAGTTGACTGTAAATGGGCAATAAGAGCCACAATGAAAATAAGCGTGGCAGGACTGTAAAGGTGCATACCCTTGACCTTGCTAGCAGTCCACAAGGAAAATCATGGCGGTTATGGGCAAAGAACGTAAGCGTTTCCACAGCCACTCCATGGCTGTCTGCCCCCATAGAGAATCAGTTCCAGAAACCATGTAGATGGGGCTGCTGTGGCTGGGATCGACTTGACGGCAGTGGGATGGGGGTGGCACAGTCGTGGTGTTATGGGGCTCAATGTTCAGCTGCCATTCAAACAGGTCAGCAGTTCTGGATGAGGTGGTCTGCTTCAGTAAAGACTGATAGCTTGGAAATGTTTGGGAGCAGTTTGACTGCCCTGTAGGGTCGACATGTGTCACAATGGGCTGAGTGCTGGTTGGTGATGCACTTGGTTAATAGGAAACTCGGCGGCTTGAGGCCAGCCCCACGTGTCTTGGAAGAAAGGGTTAGCAATCTACTTCCCAAACACCAGCCACTGAGAACCCGGTGGGGGCACAGTTTGAACCTGACACACATCGAGTTGCCGTGAATTGGCAGCAACTGGTGGGAAACTACTTTAGCAGGAGATTGTTCGCTAAAGCATTCCTTAGGTGAGCAGACAGAAATGGAAAACAATCTAAATCACAGGTTTTCCACCTGAGGGTCGAACGACCCTTTCACAGGGGTCGCCCAATTCATAACACTAGCAAAATGACAGTGATGAAGTAGCAATGG